CTGTACAGTACTGCACTTATTTAAATTTGTTTGCGCTCTGAGCATGAACCTATTATGCCCACTGCCACAAGACCAGGACAGAGTAGATAGATGCACAGCAGTGGCACCACACATCTGTCTTTGGTCTATTTCCCTTACCGACACATATACAAGCTAGATTAGAAATAGAGGTTATAGTGCATTTATTCTGCAAAGGAACAGGACTGAGGCACAACAGATAGCTGGTACCGACAGAGAGGTGCTAAACTTGTCTCTATCCCCAAGCTATATATACTGATCAATCATCGCACAGATACACTGGCCAATAGAGCACTGCAATTAACTCGTGCACACACAACAAATGAAGCAGTTAGTGCCCAGTGGACCAGTCAGCTGCTCTTGGAACATTCAGCCAATATCTGATAATAATGGCACCAGTAGAATAACTCAACAAATTAAAACATTTTCTGCAATTAAAATTTTTATAACGGACACATGAAAGAAGTTAAAATAAAGATCAACGTGGAGAAAATATTCACAGCATGCCAGGGCATCGAGCCCACCGATGATCTTCTGAAGTACGACACTCCAAAAGACTACAGAGATCTGATAGATCGCATATTCAAAGACAGCATTGAGATAGCAAGTGATGCAGATGATAAGATAGCAAGCAGTGCAGATAATGAGATAGCAAACAGTGCAAGTAATGATAAAGAAAAAGAGTTGATCTTGAAGATACTTAACAACAGAGTACGAGAATTCTTTACATACAATATATTTGGAAGATATGACATACATGATTTATATAAGTCACTGAAGGATAAAAAACTAGAGAAAGTAAGAAAACATTCTATCGACATAATTAATGAACTTATAAAGCCAAACACATTTATATACAACCCTCAGGATGGAATACACATACAGCATAGCAAAGATAATATACCCTGTGAATATGTGTTCACAGGAGATGAAATATCTGCTCTACACCCAAGAACATACACTTTGAAGATAGATTGCACTGACTCTTCAACCTTGGACAGCATACTGCACCTCACCACAAAGAGCAAGGACAGAGAGTTTTTCTGTCGTTTTTCATACTTACTCTTCTCAGAGCACTCAAAGTATATCCCGAGAAATAAGAACAAAGACATAAATATTTTAAAGAAATACTCACCAAAGAAAAAGAAATACTCCATATACGACCTTTACAACCAGCACGCAGACGATGGCACACTGCTGGTGGACCACGGGCTGAAGCTCATATACAACAAATACTACGAGATTCTCGAGCTATGTGAGACCGTTGAAAAGATGAAGGTTAACTCCGATAGCAGAGAGTTGATACTTGGCAAAATTAGGGATACACTTGATGAAGGAGAGCTAAGAATAGTCACTTCCATCATTGATAACATAGATGAAATAAAAAATGAAAAAAACACACAAAAGGGCATGATTTCTGCAATAGAGTACATGGCGGACAATAACATTCTTCTAGGTGAAAAGGATATGCCGAAAGTCCTGAATATAAACAGTGACCTAAGCAACTTTAGAAAAGAATATTTAGACGACCCTAAAGGTTTGAAGGAGAAAGTAAGTGAAAGAGAAGATAGTCTAAATAAAGAAATAGAAGCAATAGAAACAGATCAAAATAATAAAGAGAAGATACTCGAACAGGCTAAGAGAGAGGGAAAGAGCGCAGGAGAGATTGAAGGACTAGAGCATTCGATTGATGAATTAAGCTACGAAATTTATTTGTTAGAGGATAAATTAAAAAAACAAATAGTGCAGCTTAGCAATGTTAATTTTAACATGCATTTCTATGACTCCATGGAGCCAATCCAGCAAAAGCATATCCTCAAAAAGATAGGAGAAGTAGCGCTAAGAAAGAAAATAGAGCTAAGAGTAAAAAAAATCTTCAGAATAGTAATAACCCGCAGACAGTTGGCTTATATTTCTATAGTGTTGACAGTAGTGCTTATAACGCTGGGAATAATATTCTCAGGCTATATCCTAGACAATGAAATAAAAGTTGGCCGAATAATCAGCCGCTGAGAAACAGTGAATGCTTCAAAAATAAACTAAACATACACTACACAGTCTACAATTTCATCTCTTCTCAGCAGCACTACACAAGAGCACTTGACAGCTCGCTTATCTACTCACAGACACATTGTATCATATGCAGTTATAATTATCAATGTCTGTGTGTGGATCTAGTTAGTCACTGAATGATCTTGATCAAACTCACAATGATAATAGATAGTCAGTAGAATATCTGCTCAGTACACGTAAATACACTAGTTAGCAGTGCTCAGCCAGCCAGTCAGCTACTCTCCAAATACTCAGCCAATAAACTGGAATAGAGGCACCAATAGAATGCATAGATCAGCAAATTAAAAGATTTTCCGCAATTAAAATTTTTACAACGGACATATGAAAGAAGTTAAATTAGTGATAGATCTAGAGGGAATATTAAAAGCCTACAGTACCATTGACAGCGAATATGATATGAAAGAGCTTTTTAGATCCCATGATGATTTATGCTATATCACTATACTAAGACATGTACTAGATAAAAACATAAAAATAGAAAGCGAGCTGTATAGCGATGAAGAGAAAAAATTCTTGGAAAATGCAATTAAGAACCGTATGTATGAATACTTTATGTTCAATGACAGTAAAGACGATGATGCGACTATGCATATTTTGCAAAGGAGTTTAAGTCATAGCAGAAATAATCCGCAATATAACAATAAGCCTACTCGCCTGCTTGATGATCTTATGGAACCAAATATATTTATATACAATGCAGAACAAGGAATAAATATGCAGTATGACATGAGCAAAGCAGTAGAGCGTCTAGAGATAGATGATGTGAACGCAAGCTTGGGAACCCGAGAATACACGCTAAAGATTGATGACACAAAGTTCACGAACTTAGAAAGCTTGTACCGGTCTACCTCCATGCGCCTGAGCAGAGAGTTTTTCTGCTCTTCAGAAAATTTACGTGATTTAGTAGATATGAATGTTTTAAAGAAATACTTTCCAGAAGAAGAAGACTACTCTCTATACAAGCTGTACAACACTAAACATGAAAAAACTAATTTACCACTAGTAGACTATGGACTATGCCTTATTTTCGAAAAATTGAGTGAAATTAGAGCTTTAGTTAAAGAAATCAAAGCAGCAGAGGCCGCCTCTGACAAAAATGCTCTGAATGAAATTAATGCTAAAATCAGAAAATCATTCAGCCCTGGTGACTTGGGAATAGCTGTTTCTGTTTACAACAATATTGAATACATTACGTGTGAGAAAGAAATCCACAATTCCTCTATTAAAGCATTGGAGTATATGATAAATAGCGAGAAAGTCTTAGAAGAAAAGGACGGACAAAAGATACTGAAGCTAAGCACAGACTTAAGAACTTTCTATAAG